TGATCCTGTGGACAAGGAGGTGCAGAGCTGGGGCCTTGAGCAGAGCTACTATCTGCTCCCTGTGCACCCCTTCCCCATGGGGTTGTGGGGGAATGTGGGATGTGTGCATGGGTGATGTATGTGCATGGGTGTGGGGGGCTGCCTGGGCATTAGGTCTTGGGAACTGGCTGGGGGTAAGAGGAGAAAGAAGAGGGCAGGGCACTCATGCAGTAGAGCTCACCTGGGCGGTGTGGTTTGTGGCTGCCCTCATGCCAAATGGGGGCCAAACCTAGGGTGACCACCTTTTCAAAATGGAAAGGTGGGACACATACCCACCTCTTTCCCCTCCTTCCCCCCTCCAGTGGCACAGCCAGAGCAGTGCCGAGTGGAATGGGGTGGATGTGGGCTGTCCACTTGTGGCTCCCTGTCCTGCTCCTCTTCCCCTGGGAGCCCTGCACCAGACATGTACCCTCTGCCCACCCAGCAGCAGCAGGGGGTACAATTTCATGTTGCTACTGCCCCTGCTGCTATTGGGCAGGCAGGGGGCACCTTGGCATGGCTGTACAGACAGTGCAGAGTTCCTGGAGGGAGGGCAGCAGGGTGGAGAGCCCTGTGGCCACAGCAGGCAGCCTGAATATACCCTCTCCCTCACCACCCCTGCTCAAGCAGGGATTCCCCCATCCCCTCTGCCTTACACAGACACCTCTCAGCATTAGCTACCATATCGCATGCTGGCAACGCTCAGTGCCATGGCAGACAGGACAAAGGGAGACAGGACTGTGTTGGCTTATGGCTCTTGGAGCTAATCAACAGGTAGCTGGTAATGTCCCTCCATTCCCTCCTTGGAAACAGTTGTTTAAGAGCTTGAACTAATGAGAGATCCTTTTGTTTTGCTGATGGGATGATAAATGCTTCCTGTGTAACTCAATGCTGTGTAAATCCCTGCTGGCTCCTTCACTGACCGCGGGGGGAGGGGAATGGTGGGAAAACCCCTCCCTAATAAGAGCTCCTGCCTGGGCCGGGCCATGCCCCCCCCCCCCTTCCCCCTCCAGCTCAGCCATGTGGAAGGGAAGGAAGGACTGCTCTCCCGCCTCCTGGTTTCTAGCCTGAGCTACTACAGGTATGTGCCTGCATTTATGGAATGAAAAGGGAATGTCTGTCTGCATTCAAATTGGTTCAAACTTTGCAAGTTAGACTAACCAGCAAAGGTTGAATCAATTCAGGCTCAGGCTTTTTGAACATCTGGGCCTAGCCAGAAAGAGCAACCCACAGACCTGTGATGCTGAGAGTATACTGACTGAAAAAGGCATGGAATGGTCACAAACACACCATTTTTAACTGTTTAGGGACTTTATTGTATACAATTTGTAACCATACAGGATTGAATCAAAACGCCTGACTCCATTTGTCACCTTAACCAGAATGGCTTATAGAACCCCACTTTTTTGCTTATTGTTCAGATCAAAAGGTATAACAAGTTAACCATATGCAGTATTGTTCCTTTTGGATTGAAGAAGGAAGGCCTAGTGAAAGAAGACAACTGAACAGGAATGCAGCTGCAAAGACGCAGAGAGAATTAAAACAGGCAAGTGACAGCAAGAAAATGCAGATTTTATGTGAGACACATTTCTCAGAGAGAATTAGAAACTGCTGGCAAATCACCTCAGAAGCCTTGGTCAAAGGAGAACACAGTTACATAGTAACAATGCTTTCTGTGATGAGGGCCAATCCACTTTTACAGCTACTATGTCAAATGAGGCAAAAGAGTCATTCACTAGGGCTGTGCAAAACAGCAGCATTCTGCTTTGACTTCTGTCTCGATGTTTTGATGGAACAGTGTTTCATTTTGAGTTTGGTTTGGTTTGGTTTTGAAAGCACTGTTCTGTTCCGTTTTGTTGAAACAGTTTCGCTGTTTTGACACTGTTTCAACGTTTTGCCCATGGGGTATAATGGGGAAGCATGAAACAGCCTATAACGTTGTCATTTCTTGCCTGATTCCAATGAAACTTGCAAGGATGCTAGTCCCTTCTGAGAGCATGAAGCCTGCCAAGTTTCAAGGAGCTCAGTGCAGGGGTTTCTAGGAAACTGTACCTCAGGCTGCTGACAAGCAGGAACTGGGGAGCAGGAGCAGCGTCCTGTGAGCCAGCAGGCAGATGGGGGCCTGCACCCCTGGGAGGAGTCTGGCAGAGCCCCTGCAGCCCTCCCGGGAGTGCGAGCAGACCCCCGGTCTTCCTGCCAGATCACAGGTCACTGCTTGCTACTGCCTAGGACCCAGTGCTGGGCAACTCAGTACAGCACAAGTTTTCATGGGCTGAAGCTTACTTCAGCAGAAGCTGTGAAAGGACCAGCATTGGTTAGCCTATAAGATCTACCCTGTCTTCTACTTGACTTTAGACTAAAACGGCTAGCTTCATGTCCTGTTTGTTCCTCTAGGCCAGTAGTTTTCAACCTTTTTTATTTGTGGACCCTTAAACACTTTTGAATGGAGGTGCAGACCTCTTTAGAAATTTCAAATGGAGGTGCAGACTCCTTTGAATTGTAAGTGTGGGTATCCACATACTTTTGATTGATCATAGTCATCTTTCGCAGACTCTTTAGATATAGTCTGCAGACCCCATGGGGTCTGCTGACCACAGGTTGAAAACTACTGCTCTAGGCAGAAACATTTCCTTCTCAGGTGCCCTAAAGGTTTACAAGGCTTTTTTCCCACACCAACACTCTTCCCCTCAGCTATCTTTCAGAGCATTAATTACATTAAAAGGCCTATGTCAGCAACAGGTACAGCTTAAACTGCAACCTTTTAATTAGGTATGTAGCAAAAAATAATTGATACATCTTTACAACATTAATTGTATTTTAATGAAGTTTTTAATCAGGGAATTGTATAAGCAGGTGAAATTGCTGTGACATGGGTTTTAAAATTTACAACTGCTTCAGTATTTTATTTCTTCCAATTAGTGTGAATGAGTCAAAGCACCCAATAATGAGTACTTCAGACTGTCAATGAAGACAGTGCAATTACTTCAGAGTTACAGCCGGAAATGAACTGGCTACTGTAGTTTAGACTGATTTTTAGATAATTACACAGACTGGTGTAATTTTAAGGAGTGAATGTGGGCATTCCATTTATCAGAAAAGAACACAGTGAAATTAAATTCATATGTCCTGGAAACCTTAAGCGTACTATCACCATACATTTTGTTGTTGTTTATTTTCATTATAAGATCAAGTTCAAAGGTGGTGTATAAAGCAATGAATGGCTTTGTTCACTTGCCTTGAATGATTTGATTTGCAATTTTTGCATAAGGACTGACTAGCTTTTAGCCTTAGACTGCATAACCTACCACTGTGTCAGATACATCACAGTAGAAATGACAGTGGTATAAACCTTGGATTCTCATCATGCAAAAATAATTTCACAGTTAACACACATAAGCCTTCTTGCAACCAATTATTTTTGTACAACCCCAGTTCAAAAAGGATTATTTGTCTCTGTATTTCTCTTAATCATAGATGTGAAGACAGATTGTGCTCTCAGTTCAGGAATTAGATTTCCTTAGGTATTAGGGCAATTTGGCTAAAGAAGGAAATCAGTCACTATATTAAATGTTGATGGTACTTGATCATTGCAGTGGACCTTTCAAATCATACCCATTTGACTTACATGAAATAAATGGGGACAGTTCTCCAACGTTTCAAGAATATTATATATTTTACCTGTTGGTTTGAGTGTTACTGTGTTGTTTGCCTCACGATTACAATAAGGGGCTGCTGCTACTTTCGTATATGGAGGAAAGTGAACAGTTGCTTCAGGTACCCCATTCACTTACACTTGAAGAACAACTCAGATGTCATTCTCTGAAGTTGTTTTGAGCTATCTTATTTTCAGTTATCTGACTTGTAATCTGTTGGGGATGGAGTATGGGAACTAGGCAGGAAACTGAGGGAAAAACATTGGACGATCACTGATTAAAAACACAGGCTCTAAAGAACAGACAGGTGCTGAGGGGATGAGGCAAGTGTCAGGAGCTGAGTCAAAGGCATAGACACTCCTTTTAGTGAGTGACCAAAGCAGGTGGGACTTTCTTGGCTTCCAGGGGATGGTAATACTTAGGTAAGATAAAGTGTATGTTCTGCTTCGCAAAAAAGGCAGTTTGCATTAGCAGTGTATAGGGGGCACATGCAGGTGCATGTGCACCCATTGAGATTGGCTGTGCACACTCTGGAAGTGCCAGCCATGAAACGGGAAGTGCTGGCAGAAGTGCGCTTCTGGTTTTGCTGCTGGCTTGGTGATCAGCTGTGGTTGGCAATCAGTCGCGGGGGACCCCCCCCCGTTACTGATCAGCTGCTGGGGACCCCCCCCATCGTCAATCTGGTGCTCCCCCCAGACTTGGGAGGCACCAATCACCCATGGTTTTCACCTGCATTGTGAAAACCTCTCTGAATTGGAACCAGTAATTTGGCATCTCTTCAGGTATTTCTGATCCCTTTCTGTGACATACACGTGGGGCAGATAAGAATCACATCTATTATATAAATTTGGTGCTGTCTAGGACAGGGTCTTGTCAAAGGGATAGTCTGGGTTATCCCACACTTCCTGACAGAGCAATGTGTGATTTGGGAATTGGGTTTAAGGTGGCTGACTCTGGCATTAAATAGGTGATAAACTGGTTGACCAATTACACATCACTGCCTGACTGTGGAGCAGTGTTAAGGCCATCTGCACTTTTGTCTTCTGCACTCAGGGCAGTACTGCTTCTTACAGAGGCTGAAAGGTATGATTACTAGAAATGAGCAAGTGTCAGAAATGGGACTGTGAAGTTCTTCCCTTTTTTAGTCCGAACAGAAACTGCAAATGTGAGGAGAAATATAACTGTTAACCAATAACAGTGGCATATCTGACATCACTCATCAAAACATTCCTCTTTTGTAATGGTTAACTGCCCTCTTTGTAACTCACAGCAGGGGGTGGTTTTTCCTTCATAGGAGTTAAGATAAAAAGAAAGAAAAATTCCAGTCTGTTTTTTATCAGCATGTTGTTGAAAGTACTTCAGAAAATAAAGTTCACTTTGAGCAGTCTCCCGTTTGGAAGAACTAGAAGAGTTTTGAATATGCGTGCACCAATCCATGGAGAGAAAAGGCCAAATGAATGAAATTAAGACTGAATTTGCTGCATTTTCTGTTAATCTTCAGTCAGGCTTTACAATTTCTGCTAGCCAAGGTCTAGTAAAGGTCCAGAGGGATCAAAGTCTAAACTGGTTGATGCAGTGCTTTGTTGTGCAGTGTTCTCAATAGCGTTAAAACTGTAATAGAATATCATGTACTGTGTATTTTTCTGACTTCTAGTAATCTGAGGCTACAAAAAGCTTATGATAAAAAAAAAACTGCTTTTCCCTAATTGGATAATACATACATTTGCAAATCAGTTTCCTTAAATTTTACACACATTAGATCATCCTGGGCTGAAAATAAGCTAGGAAATATAATGCAAAAGTATATTTGTTTCTGGAAAATTACAGATACGTTTTGTTGATGTACCTTCCATGGTAAAGTTTGATACAACTCCCATTAAATCTGTGGGGACTTCTCTATTAACTTTCATAGCAGATGGAGCTGGCCCTTCATCTGTATCTATGTTGTGGGTGTTGCATAGGACTATGTGAATTATTTGACTTATAACACAAAAATATTAAAAATAATAATGCTGGTTTTGAGTTCATGGAATGAATAGTTTCTTCTAGTTTTGTCTTGACACTTTCAGTAGGTGTCTTATGATGTTTTTGCTCTAGGAAGTCCACAGACTTTATGAAGCTGTAGTTTGCAGTGTGTTTGGAATTTCAGACTTATTCAGTGGGTGAATTGGGGCAAATGATTTGTTTTCTTTTTTGTCTCAGATTGACTGGTGTTATCTGAATTGATGAGATACATCACCCGAGTTCAGAAAAAGCTGTTTTAAGGCTTGTAGGATTTCAGTCATCTCTCAGTAAAATGGGTTATTTCTGACTGTTTGGGATATTATGGCTGATGCCCTAAAATCTTAAGCTTAAGCTTGTGGTTTCAAAAGACCTGAAGCGCTCTGCATTGCTCTGCTTTACCTGGACACTGTAGGTGAGTGTTTTAACTTTGTGATGTCATTGGGAGGGAGGGAGTAGAAGTTCCTATAGAGCAGAGGTGCATATGGCTGTATCTGTATCTGGCCCACAGAGCTGAAGTGTTAAGTCCACTGGGCTACTGATGGACCACCAGAAGTTGGGGGTGTGGGGAGGGCACTTGGTAGTGGCCTGCTGCAGGTCCTTGGGCCCCAGTGGGCATGGCTGCTACCTGCACCAGAGCTGGAGCTCTGCTGCTGCCACTGCATGTACTGGGTGGGCACTGAAGATGCCACCACTGGTGCCAGAGCTACCCTATGCCCTTGCAGGGACCTGTCCTGCAAGGAGTCCCATGGTCTGGATCTGGCCCAGGGCAGGAAATGAGTTTGACACTCCTGCTATAGTGGAACCAAAATAGTATGCCTGGAAGCACTGGAAAGCACATAATTACATATACTGGCAACCGGCCAACAAGCATTCAAATTTTTCAAAAGTATATACTCAGAGAACTTGATCCTTGCCAGCCTGATCTATTGCCCATGATAAACCACAGCCCAGTTATGTTTCTGAATTTGAGTGAGGAATAAGCAGCCAAAGGGCATAAAAGCTTTGAAACGAAGATCCTGTTATGTGAATGTTCTGAATAATTGAAAACAAGGAAATGAAAAACAGTGAAACATGGTATATAAATACAGATTGCTTTTTCTACATGACATTTGCTTTTGTTAGGGCCTGTTCATCATATTAAAGCAAAGTGATTAGTAATAAACAAACACACTAAAGCAGATAATCAAATAAAGTCCTTGTAAGGGATATTGGGACCAGGCTCAGTTTAAAAAAAAAAAAAAATAGCGTTTGTCTTTCCTACCCCAGTAATCCCCTTTCATTGGTCTGTTGTGGCTTGTCCTGGCTTCCATGCTGGGACAATTGAATGAAATTTTTAGTGAGCTTGCTCTTAAAGGAGGCTAATAAAAAAGTTTACTGTGGGGAGTGAATAAACTAATCCCATTAAAAAGGGAGTCCAGGAAAAGTTGCCAGATGCAAATGAAGGGGCTGGTGCTTTTGTTCAAACAAAGCCTTTTCTCATTATATAGTTTTTTTTAAAAGAAAGCCAAGTTGCCCTGGAGAAGGACTTTTTTTTTTTTTTTTTTTTTTTTTT